CCGTCCCGTCCCTTCCCCACCGCCCGCAGCCGCGCAGATTTACTCCCGCTTACTAACGTGGTCTCTGCTGCCGGAGCCAGCGCTCTGTAGGAAAGAGAATGATTCGCTCCAGCTTTTGTCCGCTCTGGACTCGGTTTGAGCTCAGAGACGACGTTCATTTTTATTTTTATTTTTATTTACCGGCAGAGACAATGCCACCCCTCTCCCCTCCCCACCTCTCCCCTTAGGTTGGCATCAGCAAGCTGAGAGTTTTCTTTAAGCCCTGATTTCCAACTTTACGCAGCATTGTCCCCTTTTATTGCACCTCCTCCAGCTTTTATACTGTTTACTTCCTCACTTTTATAACTTACTTTGATCTGTCCTGTCTTTGTCTTCGCTTCCTTCACAAACTTTATTGTCCTCGAAGCTGGGCCTTTGATTGGAAACGATCCCTTCCCTTGCAGCAGAAGTTTCTAAATTGTACTCCTGTGTTCCCTGTTTATGGACATCCCCGGGACGGCCCAGCAGCGGCTCTGCCTTAACGGATCCCTGCCCGGGGAGGTTCTCTGCTCTGGGAACGGGATCCAGCCAGCTCCGGAGATACCTGCTATCAGCTGGGACGCTTTGATGTTGAATATATGGATGGTAGACGGCAGGAAGGGTACCAGAAGAATGTGGATTCAAAGGAGTCCAGGAGGCGCTGAAAACTGGAGGTTTTGGCTGAAAACTACAGGAGGGGAATTCTAGATGCTCATTGTGCCCAGCTTGCCTGGAACTTGTATATTGCCCAGATGAAAATTTAGCTGAAGGCGAGTCTTCGCTTTCATGACTTATAATAGAGTCGACATAATAATTGCTAAGAGTCCCAGAAATGGACATTCTCAGACATCATACAAAGCACGGTTCAATGAAGGGAAAAAAATATATAGGACAGATCTAGATTTGTACTCTACCCCCTTCTCCAACTTCCCAGCCAACAAAGTACAGTTGGGCTGCTGTGTTGTGAGCTCCCAGCAAAATGATTGGTCAAACTTTTTTCGTGTGCCTGATAAAGCGTCAGTCTCGGCGTAAATCAATCGAAGCCGAGGGGGCTGCGCTGCGCTGTCATCCGCCCTTGCATTCCATATCAAGGATGGATTGTTTTATGTTTATGCAATGTTGCAAAACGTCAGGAGTTTCGAAAAAACACCAAACGGGCAGAGCTGGGGCTAATATCCCTTCCTAGATTTGCTCCTGAAATATTATGGGAGGGGGGTCCGGGGGGGGCGGATTTTTTTTTTTTTTTTTTTTTTTTAGGAAAGATGCTGATGGGGTCGCTTTGTGCGGATTTTTTTTTTTTTTTTTTTTTTAGGAAAGATGCTGATGTGCTCGCTTTGCCTTTAATAACCATCATGGGGGAATAGAGATAAAAGCTATTCTCTGCCACTCGGGCTCCAGAGTACGATAGCAAAAACCCCACAGAATAAATACAGACCAACCCGCCCCCCCCCGCCATCATTTCATATACGTACATATGTGTGCGTGCATTACAGCCATACATACATAAACGCACGCTTATATGCGGTTTTGTAAAGAAAAAGATGGATCTAGGTAGCAAGAGCGGTGGGGAGGGATGTTATAAATAATTAACGAGCTGGATGGGAAAATGGATTGTTAACATGCTAAAATAATGTGTGTAAATATGAAATGTAAAATGTCACTGGCGGGGACGTGGCATTGCAACTTTGACCAGCAAGCTGCCGAGCCACAACCCCTGTATACACCCAAAGCCTGCCTTAGACTTGATGTTTATACATATATACTTAAAAAACATCCTACAAATATCTCTGCACATGAGCATATGTTCGCCTGTTTCGCGGCGGAATCTCAGGGCTGCTTTGCTTGGGCTAAAATAGTTTTCCCACATTGCTGAAATCAGAAGCCTTCATTTAACTTTACAAGGCTAGTAAAATACAGTGCGCCACTGATCCGGCTTTGTTACAGAATGCCTTAAACTTGTGATGGTTAAATAGTTTAATAAAACTTACATTAGCTTTCTTTGATTTTTATAGCCTTGAATTTATTGCCTGTGAAAAAGAAAGGGGGCAAAAAAAGGAATCCCTCGCGTTTTCAGTCGCCGTGCCCCCCCTCGCACCTCACATGTATGTGCCCACGGGGTGTGTGCGTGTCAAAGGCTTGCGTTTGCCGTGTGTTTTCGAAAACCCGACGATTCGGGGTTTGGGTGTTGTTGGTTTGGGGGTTTTTTTTGCCTTGCACCGAAACGAATGATTGACACGGGGTTAGAGCTCCGTGCGGCTCCCAGCCCCAAGGATGGGGGGGAACGGGGTCAGTTTTACCCAGCTATGGGGATAAATCCGTTTATTGCAAGATGGTCCGATGGCGTCGTAAATGTTGCTTAAGGAAAAGGTGCGCTCTGTGCTTACGGCAAAAGTGATTCTCTGGACTTCGGCTCTAACAGTCTGGATCAATTTGCCTCCTTTAATCTATTACCCCTCCGCCCTTCTCCCTCTCACCCCAACACTGGAGGATATTTAAAGTGAAGGGCAAAGAGATTTCTAGGAATGATAAATCATCGCGAATCCTTCCTGAAGTGTATAGGGATGGAAGGCTATATTAACAGGCTAATAATAACATCCAGGGGTGCTAATAGCCGCCTGAAATGAAGGAAAAAAGATATTTCGCATTTCTCTCTCTATGGCAGCGTGCGTGCGTGTGTGTCCCTGTGTCCGAGCCTACACAAAACGTGTGTGCGAAATTGCTATCAGAGGTGTTTTACTGATGCTGGAAGATCATGAAGGCGCTTAAAAACCTACACCCAAAGCCTTACATTTTCCCTTATTCCTATAAGCGGTGCTTTTCCGTGAGCATCTGCCCTGCAGCCTGATGGAGGGACACGTTTCCCCATGTCCAGGACCAGAGCTCCTCTAAAAGAGGCGTTATTAGGAAGCTGTCCATTTTCATTTAAAAAAAAAAACCAAAACACCACAACATCGAGAGGGTCGGGATGATGGGCAAGGAGACCCGGAGCCTAATGCCGGAGGTCAGCTTTATTTTTAATTTTTTGCATCCATCAGGGTAGCAAGAGCCCCCCAACCAGCTGAAAATCCTCCCTGTGTTGGAAAAGCAGACTCAGCCTGCAGGCTCCAGCCAAGGTGAGCTTTGAGGAGTGCTTGGGGAGCCCTCTCCAGCCTCTGGGCTAAGATCTTGCCAAGCCAGCCGTGGGTAAATGTCACCAGGTGAGTCCTCCCCACTGACCTGCAAACTCTCCTCTCCTTTCCAGGGGGGTTAATTCAAAGTAACTCCACTTCCCCCCCTTTTGCCTTTAAACCGGTGGAGGCAGAGAAATCCCCTACCAGGGACCAGCGTGGGGCAGGATCGCTGCTCTCTCCAGTGCATCTCACACGAGCAGGGGTCGTGTGAAACGAGGGGCGAAATTCCTGCTTTTTCCAACTTTTCACATTTCTATCTCCTTTCCTCCCCCCCCCCTTCTTTTAACTTCCTTAAGAGTTGGGGAGGTTTTGAAATGAAAAGACCCTGTGTCACCAGACATGAAATACGAGCTGGTTGCTCACGTTGTCATATTTCTCGGCTTTATTGCCTTTCAGAAATGATTTAAAAAAATCAGACTATTTCACAAGAGATTCGGAGGGACTCTGTAAATGTTATGAGAGCTTGGGAGAGGAAAGGGCTGATTTAAGTGTGTTGTGGAGATTAAACTCGCTTGGCGCATGGAAATGTGTTTATACAACTGATGGATAAACAGCCGTGTTGGTAGCAGGGTGTTGAATAAGTATAGATGAAATTATTGAACGTTAATTGAAGCAAAACACCTGTTCTCTGTTTGCTAGATAGATTGGCCATGTCTTACCTGTAATAAATATATTCTTGGAAAAAATCCTGGCGCGCCTCCTATAAATAATGATGAACTATGTCAGCATGTGAGTATATAATTTTCTGTAGTATATAAATTTAAACCAAGAAGAATCTTAGGAGTGTGGCTGTGAGGCAGAAACCAAGGGATTTCAGATCCCTAGCGAATGGAAACCTCACAAGAAGATCTGCAAAATCCATTTGCTTTTGCTCCTCTGGAGGTTTCCGTTTGTTCGGTAGTTTATTTTTTATACATATCCCCATAGCTCATCTCTTTGTAGCCTTTTCTTGAGAGGGGCTTAAGGCAAACTACAGCTTTATCCCAGGTCTGCCCGCTTTGAGAGACCACGGCGTGCGGTGCTGCCTGCTTCGGGTGACACTATATAGGCGTTCATATTTTAAAGGACCAAATAGAGCCCACCAGAAATTACATTAAAAGCTCTGCTGTTTGCAAAAAATTAAAATCTTGGAGAAGGAAACGTCAAGGAGAAAGTGACCCCTGAGCGGAGTTTAAAAGTCTACAAGGATGAATCTTTTGGGAGAGAGGAGGCAGGATGTGCGAGCTTTGCGCGGTTCGCAAACTAGATTAATTTTAGATATGTGATTGTTGCGAGTTGGTAAAGGGAAGTGGAACTGGAAATAGTTATTAAAAAACAACAACAAAAAAAGTCCGAAGTTCAAACTTTTTCCTGCTTTCAGAATCCGCGCCAAGTGTATTTGGCTGCGAGGAAAAATTCGGAGTATCGTCAGCTAGCAGTGGAAAGCCAGAGGCTTCTGAACTCAGATACTGTTTATAAATAATCTTTATTGTTTGAGGAGAGAAAGAATCGTTTCCAAATAGTGCTTTGAAATACACAACTGCCAAAATCCATTCTTAACAAACAGCTCTTTGCGTTGGCATTTCTAAGCTGAAAACAACCGAATAGAAAATATTTTCAAAGTATGTAGATTTTAAGCCTCTGCAACTGCCACCTTTTACTGATTTATAAGTTTTGGCATAAGAAAGAAAAAGAGCGGATGGGCCATTTCTTACCGGAAACATATTTATCCACTTTCTAAAGGCGGTTGTTACCGTTTATTAGAACTGGCACCTTCTTCCAGCTGATTTTGCATCTTATCACTGATACGGAGAAGGTGGGGGGAGCTGGGGGTGCGGAGTTCTCCCCCCGTCCTGACGGGGGGTTTCACCAGAGTCTTTACACCAAGAGGCCGACACGGCGTCGGGGTGTAACGTGCGTTACTTTAGGCATATTTACTTCTTCGGTTTAGGTTTGGAAGCCGATAAGGATAAGCTAAGAGAGGATAAAAGCTGAGAGTGAACTTCATGGCTATGGAGAGTCTGGAGACCAGATTCTGAGATAACCCAGCCTTTCAAAGGGCCGAGCGTTTATTGTAGGCGATATAAACCATTCCAAAATTATAATAATAATAACAACATTAATAGTGATAATCACAACAACAACCGAATAACTTTTTTTTTTTTTTTAAGAGCCAGGAAGCAGAAATAAAACCTCAGCATAAAGCAAACATAATTTATGAATGATACATTTAGGCAGGTCTAAGAGGTTGTGAAAGAAACTTCAGTCACGGACCCCTCCAAACGCACGAAAGCGCAACAAAAAAATCCCTCCTGAAGAGTAAAACCTTTAAAATAATAAAAAAAAAAGTTAAATAAGTTTTTGTAGCCTAAAAGCAGAAGGATCTACCTTTGCCATTTCCTGTGCTAGCTCTCAGTTTGAATGCTGCCGTCTGTTAAAAATCCGTAAGTGGTGAGGAGGGAGGGAGGGAGAAGGGGGGGGAATTCCTTGTCTGAAGAGAAGCAAAAACAAGTTACACATGTGGGCAATTTTCCAAGGACCGAAAGTATACTCTGGCTAAAAAAAAAAAAAAAATCCAAATGAGGTTTGTAATCTCAGCAGTTAATAAAGCATTTAAGTCCCCTGTAAAGTAAAAGCGTATGTGCATTTGAAAAGGGAAGCTGGAAGGAGAGAAAGTTAAAATAAAGTTTG